ATTTTTTTTAGCCCGATAAAGTGCTGCTTGCGTCAGGTATGAAAGTCAAATCTATTTACTTGTTTTTTTAGTTAGTATCCTGAAATCTGTGTAACTTTTTTAAAATAATAATTAAACAATTTAAGTATTTACTGCCTTTCACAGTACATATTTAAAAAAATGCAATGAAACACATTTAACCGACTTTATTGAAGTTATCAATTATAATACAACTATTTAAATTTAATCTAAAATTTTCTATATTCAGTATATTCTATGAAAAAAAATAACTGGTGATAAAGCGTTTGAAACTATGTATGTGCACAATTGTGGCCATCATTCCCCTTCAAAGACAGAACGAAAGGGTTAAAAAATTTAAGAGCCAATCTTTTATGCTGTCTCAGGACGTGGTGCTGGCAATTGAAACCACCACGTACTTGCAATTCACGTCCAAGTGAAGACAGTTAATGGAGAAACATTCAACATTGTCTTCGAACCGTCTCACAAATCAGTCCGACTGCCCATTAGGATGCTGATATCGTGATAGATTATCAGACCAAGAGCTATATGTAAATCTCACAAGCGTATTGATGTATCTGTCGTAATACGTCTTGCAAATTTGTCAGTAAGATTTGAGACGAGCCAAGTGAAAAACATTTTCTAAACAAATGCGGTAACTAATACCGGGTGGGGCATCCGTTACGTCCAAAAAGAAAATCCCCACTTCTAATTAAATAAAATTGTTGAATTTTTTCACACTTACCTGGGCATTAGTAAGGTACATTTTCTAATTTTTTGGTAATTTTTCATTCAAAGACAAAGCCAAAAAAAAATTAAAAGGAATTTTCTCCCAAAAAATTTAATTCTAATTTTTATACTGACCTACGCAGATTCACTTCCTACAATTGTTTACAAAATCAGAAAAAAAATACCAATTAGATTTTAAATTAAACGCAATTTTCTATCTTAACTTTGAAAATCATTTTTATTTATGACCTGATACTTGTGCCATCGTAAATTTAGGTGACAATGGAGAACTGCAATTGGGGTAAGATTCCAAGGTTTACAACAAAAAGACCCTTTAAAGCGGTAAAACCACTAAATGATTCTTTTGTTGGCAAATTATACCATTTTGTCATAAATCACGGGTGTGGTTTGTGTTTAAATAAAAAAAGCGATTATTTGGCTAACCAAGTCAAAATTTGAAATTGTGATATCAAAGTTTGATGCGCTGACAGGTACAGATTAATTTAGTGTAAAAACTTTATAGGTAAATTAACAGAAAGTATTCATAAAACACACAAAACTGTTAATTCTCAAACTATCAATAATTAGTTAGGTGTATGAAATATCGCCAGTTTTAATTAATTTGAAGTCGCGATTTATCAAGTGCCCGTAACCGATGCCCCACCCGGTACAATTTGTTTCGTTCATTCCGAGGTGTGGTTAGGGGTAAAACTAATTCGAAAAGAAAAAAACTGTCGTTGCTTTCAAATTTTTTTGAAAATGTTTTGTGTGAGTATATCTTCTTTAAGATGCGCCACCGTTTGCATCTTGCTCGCAGCGGATCGTACATTCTTAACGTCAATTGTATGCCACCATTAAATCCTTCTGAAATCCGCACCGTCGCAGATAGTACGTAAGATACACTATTATTTTACTTGGAGATGCTCTGAATTAACCTTGGCAGGAAAATAAAATACCCAAGTTGTTTTTTTGTCGACTGACAGCAAAATGCGACTGTCTGAACCGTCAGGTCTTGCTACCGAGGAATTCACAATCACTGAATACTTGTCTTGTTCCCAAGCCTTTCTTTTTCGGTGCACCTTGGGAAAGAACCTCTTGGCTCGTTTTCATTTCGACGGTGCAGCAAAAACCCGGAATCATTCACCAAACATTTTAAACGGTAATTACGGCAATTTGTTTTGGCGTAATTGCATATTTTAATTTCTCATGAATTATTTATTATACAAACTTACCGACATTTGCACGTCTGTTGCCCGAAACTCGCGACAAACTAAACCGAAACAATCTTTAATTTACTTTTTGGTTAAAAACTAAGACTTTTGCTAAAAATTAATTTCCTCCTTTTTGTATTTCAGTGTCTGTTATGTGTCAAAAATTATCAACAAAGAAGAAAACTAACCAATTTTTCTTGTCGATGGTTTATACAGAATTGCAGACATGTGTGAAAATGTACAAGATCAATTTTTTGATACTACCTATAAATATGTTTTTAAAAATAAAACACAAAAATCTGTTGGAAGCATCTTATACAGAGTGGTTCAGAACTCACGCCCCAGAGAAAAATGTCAAATAATATCACTGATAACAGGAACATGCAAAAATGTTTAAAAAATTCTATGCATGAGAATTTAAAATTATGGGAGTTTTTACACTTTCTGCCTCAAAAATAATGTTACATATTTTTTTGCTATCAAAAGAGCGTATTCTGAATTGTAACTATACGTATATGTTTAACGATAGTTATGAAAAAAACATACAGGGATGTGTCAGAACTCGCGCCCTTGAGAAAAATTTCAATTGCCTAAGATAAGACATCAGGAACATGGAAAAAAATGTTTAAAAAATTCTATCTGTCAAAAAATGTTGACAATAATTTTTTGACATTTGACATTTTTTATGTCCATTTAACGATACAGATGATCTTGTACCTATATGTTTCTTTTATAATTATTTAGTAAAGATACAAACATTTTGCCAATAAAAATAATATTAAACAGAGTTGTAAAAAAACTTGGAAAATTATTCTTCTAACAGAAATAAATAGAGTCAAAGTGCAAAATTTAAACTTTCATAACTTCAAAATTTTTATGGATAGAATATTTTTTACTTTTTTTCTATATTCTTGGTATCTCATCTTACTTAGTATTCTTCTCAAAAGCGCGAGTTATGAACTACCCTTCTTTATTATACACATTACACAAAGCAGGCTTTTAAAAAAAAGAATAAAGAATTAAAGCGCAACTCGCAACTGCCGATCTCTTAATTCGTCAAAAACCTTCTTCGATAAAAAAGTATTGATAGAAAAACATTGTGTTTCTGTCGAAGTTGACTCTATGAGAAACAAAATTAGAATCTCTGCCTGTCTCACAAAAATTTTTACTGTCATCATTTATCAAACTCTAAATAATTTAACCAAGTATCAAAAAATTTTTTTTTACTAAGTAGTAGAAGTGCCACAAATGGCGCACTTTCTTGAAAGGGAGTAAATGGGTAGTTCCCCAGAGTGCTAAAAAAATGTTTAAAAAATTCTGTTTTAAAAATGTTATCTGTCAAAAAAATTTGACTTTTATTTTTCGACATTTGACATTTTCTTAAGTCTATTTAATGATACTGATGTTTTTCTATACGTTTTTTTATAATTATTTACTAAAGGTACAAAAATTTTGTCAATAAAAGCCACAAATAACACTAAACAGAATTACAATTTAGGATACAGCTTCCTTGTTTTCTCTTCTAAAAACCTGCAGCAAAAAAACTTGGAAAATTATTTTTCCAACAGAAATAAGTAGAGTCATAGTGCAAAATTTAAACTCTCATAACTTCGGAATTTTTAGAAATATATATTTTTTTAACATTTTTTTCTAGGACACTGCCCGATGACACAGTGTCACGAAAGTGCGCGATTTTTTAAACACTCTGTATTATGTCATTAGGAGTAAAAGCTTATGTGGCGAAGCTGAACGTTTATTTAATTAAAATTAGCCACATATACTCATCACTTTTACTCCAAATAACAAATAGTATTTTATCCGCAAACGTATTAATTAGCAAGTACATGAACAAAATTATTAGCAAGCTTTGCAAGTATTGACATCAAATAATGCCAACAAATATCACGCGTCAGTATCCGAATTTGTGTTAAAATTTTCGAGAATGTTTATTAATTTAACTAAAGTCGCGGTCAATTCATAGTAGCCACTTCCCTGTGTAAATCTGTAAAAATTGAGTTGTGTAAATCCGACTTTAAACATCCAATTGTTTTTTTAGTGACATAGCTATGACAATTCTAAAATAGTCGGGTAAGAATACTTTACATAAAAAAGTTTATTTCGCCTGTCACAATTATTGACACAATTTAGTTATTTCTGAGACCAACTTTGACAAGACCTACATAATAGAAGTGGCGGGCTAAGTGCTGCCAACTTTGAGATAAATTAAATGGCCACTATAAATTGACCGCGACTTTAGTGCAGTTAGTAGTGCAAAATGTCGAATGCTGATGATCTACAATGTAGGTATCTCTCCAGAAATTGCTGAAGCAGAAAGAAACAACACTGTTAAATCTCAATAATGTCATGGTAAAAGTAAAATCGCTTAGGCGCAAAAATTGAATTTTTATGTAATGGCTGAAAGGTAAAACTTTTACTTGTGACATTTACTCATAAAAGTAGTCACTTTTGAGATGTTAGCAAATAAATGTGATTTATTCGCAAAAATTTCTAAAATCAGATCGATGTGTACAGTTGGAGACAAAATACTTTGGTCGTCAATGTTACTTGAGTGTAAATAAGTAAAGTAAATTGTAAAATATGCTGTTAACCTTATTTTTAGCTACTGTCAATCATAGTTGACAAGTTGTATGTACATATTTTTGATAGGAAAATATATTAGCTGTCATTAATTTGAAATTGTCATCTAAAGCTTGAATTACATTAAAGTGTCAGAAAAGTGACGACCAAAGTATTTTGTCTCCAACTGTATCTTAGAGGCACAATTTTTCTGAATTCAAAAAAAAGAAGAAAAAAAATGTTTAAATCAAGATCTCTTCTTGTGAAATTGGCAAAGTCCCTGAGAGTGTAATATCTGTTTAAACAACAAGAATGGCCTGGTCCATGGTCACAAGAAATGAAGAGATATTGAGAAGAAACCTGAATTCTTGGATTCAGTTTCTTCCATTCCTTACCAATTTCACCACTTTGAAGATGTCGTCTTCGTCTCCGTAAGTACGTCTTGGGTGTGTGGTTGCGCATGCGGCGGATTTTAACTCACCTGAGAGAATCTCCGGCTCAAGTTGCTGTATCTGGCAGTCATGGGGCTCGCTTAGGTGAGTGAGCGCGTGGTCATGCACGCCGTGCTGGTGTCCGTTTACCTTCTGCTTGTCACCCCCATCACACTAACTTGGTGGTGAGTTTTTATCGTTATTTTCTAATCGCTTCTTCCCCACCACTCGATCCGGAGCGACATCTTTCCGGAACTTTAACACACGAATGTCCACTCTTAACTCAAATTCGGCGATGAAATTAGCGAACTGTAGCCAATTTACCAAATTCTCATAACTATAGGTATAAAAATAAAGAAACATCATTAATAAACATTCTAGACTTGGAGATGGAGGCAATTAACCTAGAGGTTAATTAAATTTAGACTTTTAAAACGAAAAAGTGAAAAACTAATAGGCATGTAACCTAACGTGTTTTATTAATTTATAATTTTTGCTCAACTACGGTTATTATTGAAAAATATGTAGGGATTTAAATGAAATTAAGCAATTGAGGTTTTGGCTTAATGAACAGTGGCTTAGATTAAGAATGTTTAACTGTAAAACAGGTAGGCATACCATGCAACAAGTAAACACAAAGTTTAATCTCTTTTATCTTTATAATGTTTATTATTTCCATTATAAAAATAAAATCAACAGGATGTTACAATTTCCGATTTCAAGCAAATGTGTTTCAATGTAATAATTATTTATTATTGTTAAATAATTCTAAAAACATTATTATTACATAATTAATGTGATATAATTTATTCAAATAATATTAAAATAAAAATTGTTGAATGGTATAATAAGCAGAGTTGTTTGAAACCACCACGAAATGCGTTTTGTGATGTTAGCGACACCGCTTTATTACACGCTTTAATTTATACATTTGTGTATATAAGGTGTAAAATTTATCCTGATTGAGTTATTGTACTTATTGTGTATTAATGTGATGAAATAAAATAACCGGAAAATAGACTTTTAAATGTGAAATGTGTTTCTTGGTTGTTTTATTATTACACACGCATTATTTTTGCTTTTAAATTGCTTTTTAGTTACACCTACTTTTTAACCTTTTATTATAATGATAATAGTAGATTACACACCGAGATGGGAGGTGTTTCATGACTAAGGCCCTAAGCGCCGAGGTGAAGCAATGATCACTAATACTATTGTATTCACAATCAGGACAGAAAGTCAGTAAAGAATTTAACAAATTTTGACTATGACTGTTCAGGTAGGAAAGTGGCAATTTCCCAACCTGAACCTGATATTTCATGTCAATTGGTAAATGAAGTTGAAATGTCATACTTTCCAACATTTCACATGCAATTTGATGACTTTATGATTGTGAATAAAAATTATTGTTATGGCTCGTTGGACGTTTCGTTCAATTTGGCGCTAGAACGCGTTCAGCCTATACTATTGTTTTATGGGACGTTGGCATAAATGCATTTTCACATGTGTCTAATGACTTTATGATAACTTATGTAATATGAAATTTCTGCATATCTCTATACCGGAATTTGTGCGATTTTTTTTTAATAATGCAGAATTGAAACTCATCTTATGCACATTGCGTACTTACACCTACGATTGTTTTAGTGAAGGTTTAATGATTCAACTTGATTGGCTATTAAGCGGTAGCGGCACTTTGTTCATTAATGTCATAACGAATGATGAATAAATAGTTTATTTTTAATTCCCAACTAAATGACTGATGGTAGTAAAAAATGTAAATGGCTTATATTTATCGTGAAAAAAGAAAAGGTAATACAATATATTAAAGTGGGTCAAACGTATCATAATTTCTGAAGCGAAAAATAGAACTATATTGCTTTTGCTAAACACCAAAAGTAAACATAGCTGGTGTCAATATAGCTGTTGAACTCTCTAACATTTTGATGTAAAAGTTTCAAAGTAACGTGTTAATTAACACCAGCGTGCAAGTTAAAGGCTATTACAAGAACACACTGTTTGAGAATGACTATTTAAACATCAATTTACAAAGATCGTTGTGCTAAAAAGAAGTTCATCCAGATGCTGTTTCAGGTCCAAAATTTCGTCTCTGCGAAAGCGACATTTCGCTCTAAATGCCTTATTACATGGTGTTTTTAGATATCCATCACTAATTGAAAGCACCCACAAGAAACAATATCCAAAATAAATATTTAAGTTGATTCAACTTTGTATTAGATAACTTTTTTATTATTGGTATTCATGGTTCCGAGAAAAATGGACCAGACTTACGACATATTTTTATCAAATTTTGATAAAGTCTTCTCACAGTAAAACAAACATTGTAAATCAAGAACACATCGTTCGTAGAAGAACAACTGGTGGGTGAAAAGTAAGCACATATTTACTTTCCCAGTTTAATTTTCAGCTAAATCCTAAATCAAACCAAGTTTTTGAAACTATTTTTGAGAGGTGGACTATAATCGCATTACTAGTACAATAATGGCGACTTTTAGTATGGTGGCATTGGCAGCATTGAACTTTACTAAAAATTCTTTGACGGTTGTCAGTTCGGGGCAGGGTGAATTGCGCTCAGTTTTAAAAATAGGTATAATAAGGCTAATCCTTAAAGTAAACTGCGCTCAGTAGGGAAATGTCTATCTTATAAGTTTGACCAAATTACCAAATTTTTTAAAACATATTTGTGTTCAGTAAATGTAAATAATAACCTATTTCGTTTTTGTTTATTTTGAAATGCAAAGATTTGAAATGCTGAGATATATCGACCGACCTGAGCGCAGTTCACAAGGGATTAACGCAACGCAGGTAAGTAAAAATTTCCTGAGCGCAGTCCACTGTAGGGATTAAAAAGCCCCGCTTGAAGTGAGCGCAGTTCACCGGCACCTGTCAGTTCGAAAATTCGAAATTGCGCTCAAAACAAAGCAAAGAGAAAAATGTCCCAAGAAAATGGAGTGTAAACTTCTTGAATTAACAGAAATTGCAAAAGCTGCCATTTAGAGGATATTTTAATCCCAATAGTGTGGAACAAATTGTTTACAATTACTTTGCAAATGTTTATTTATTTAATATTACAGTTGTTAATAAATAATTATTAACATTAAATTCTTTATTTCAATTTTGTGTTTCTGTTTACACTGATAAAAGGATCAAATACATTTAGTGCGCAAGAAAAAATAGTCTATATCACTCGGAGCAGGAAGTTTTTTTCGTGTTTCAATTATTTTGCACTGTCTTGGCTGCAAAAAAAAAACACTTATTTAATGGCAAGAAAACTTTAAAAGATTGATTTCAGAATGAAATGGTTTTGCGACCAAATTGTTGCATTAGAAAAACAATAATCATAATTTTTAAACAAATTTCTGTTTCTTTTTATTAAAAAATCGATGCAAGCCATACTAGGCACATACGCTGTGCAGACCTTCAGACTGAAGTGTGAGAAATCATCTGTTGACAGAGCAGAAATAACACAGAGCGCGTTGATGTAAAGGTGAAATTTTATTTATTTTTCTATATACGCTTGTATTATTGTAATTGTCTGATAAGTTGTTTGATTAAACTTGGTATACAAGTAACGAAAGCGACTGTCAGTTGTTCCAAAAGAACCACGCACTGACCCTTTAGTGTTTTTCTGGTTTTGTTTATTAAATTCCTCAATTCCGGGTTCTACATAAATTTTCAAAACAGATTTTATATGTTAAAGACATGTCGACGATTGATGAAGAATTTTCTATAAATACACAAACTAATTTTACGAAAGACTGCAAATCGACGGTAAGGATGGATTTCCAAGTAAAATTTCATTTTTGAGTGTTAGTTTGGTAAATAATAAAAGTTGTGGAATTGTGTCTGGAATTTTTAAGGCACCTCCTATCGATAGCAAGTTGACCTTTCCCGTCAAGTTGATTCCACCAATACGACCACTGATTATTTATTACTACTATCAGGAGTCTTGATTGTACGTCCTTGACACAAGTGTTATACGTATTGATATCTGTTGTTTTCTCCAATCACGCCTCACGGGACGTCCCATGGGTAGCCATTGGTCGTCGACGACTACCACCCTCAAGCCAATATTTCACCATTATAGTAAAATTCAGGAGGGTAGACCATTTTTATTTTTTCATTACCAACTTAAAAAATTCTATCACAATGTAAATTGAAACAATTAAAGGGTCTCTAAGGATGGTAGCCTTGAACATTAATTCATTTGTACTTCAACTACACCACTTAAATGTCATGTTCGAGTGAATTTGCCAATTTGACACTGACTTTTTGGTATAATTTGCAAGTATTTTTCGTTTATTGGTTCATTTCTTGCTTTTGTTCTGAGTCTCATTGGTTTCTTTTAATAATTCCTTACGATTAAGTAACTTTCATGAAATCAGGCATAAATGCACTTGTGTTAGTGTAAAAAATTGAAATAATGAGGGGTCACCGATAAAAATTAGCCCCCCATCATCTTTTATTTATTCTACAAAAAATGGGGCTAATCTTATAAAAAAACATTTAAATGCTGTTTTAGTTCTTTACGTATTGTGTCTGCTAGCACAAACCACACTAAATAAAATTGTGATTATTTGAGATATTTGAGCGTTGTTTAAGAAGTCCATTATTTAAGGAAGTAATTAACAGTACAAACTGAAATCAACTCATTATTTTGATTCTGACATAAGTAATTTTCTGGTCTTCATAAGATCAGAATAAAAGCTTCTTAACATTTTTTGTTTGTTTTCGAGAGATATGTAAGATGCAATTTTTTTTGTAGATGTCTTGAATTTCAACTTTTTCTTTTTTCTTAGCTGGAAGAAGGCATAAGATTGTCTATGGTTTTAAACCCTTAAAAAAACTCAATGTAAGAAATTATTTGTTCATGCTCCTTATGTTTATGATGATTCCTATTTATGACACACAGATTTTGCATTCGTTTTCTTCTCAACTTACCCACTGTTCTTTAGAAAATCGGTTTTATACTGATGTACAGGGTGCTGCATTTTGGATGTCGGAATAGGGAATCTCCGAAACTAAGAGGTTTAGCCAAAAACGAGTGATACATTCTGGGGCTCATTTTTTGAGAAAATAATATTGGTTAAAACCGCATCCCGCTATCGTCTTTTGTTTTCGACTTATAGACAAAAATTGACATTTTAGCGAAATCTAAAAAAATTCATATCTTCGTTATTATAGAAGACACAGATTTGAAATAAAGACATTATATAGGCACTTTTTTACGAGGAATTTAATAATGTAGTTAACAATTTTTTTCAGTTAGTAGTTTAGCCGTAATAAGATAAACTTATATTTTTTTAAATGGAAATCATAGGCGGGTATGGCAATTTTGAAAAGCTTATTTTTTTCTGATCTAAAAAATATATATTTGTAACAAAATATTTTTTATAACTATACTTAAAAAGTGAAATACATATTTTGTGTGATAATAGTTGGCCATGGAAAAACTATTTCACTCCAAATGTGTAAATAATAATCAATAAGAGTTTTGTGAACTGTAAAATAGATGAAAAAATAGATACAATTATAAAAAATTTAAAAATATGATAGGTACGTTAGAAGTATTGAACAAATATCCGAGCGCCTCAGAACAAAATTATTACATATTTTTAAAAAATCAAAAAATAGGACAAACAAATGTGTCAACAGTCAACACAATTAGAAAAAACATTTTTTTGATGATCTATTGGAGATAGTATAACGTTTCACATAGACGGAATTTGGGTATTTGAATAACCATATCGTCATTTTTGTGTCATATAAAATATATTTTATTGAAGAATTAAAGCGGCTTTTTTTACAACACTCTATGTATCACTAGAAATTACAATGGTAATGATAGCTTGTTTAAAAACAAAGAAATGTCGCCAATAAGTTGATTTACAATTTATTTTGCATCTTTTCCATAACTTAGTACTTAGAAAACTATTTCATTAGTGACACTGGTTGAATATAATATAGTTTAAATCCTTTTAGTTGAAGATGCAACATTTTTTCATGGCCAACTGCGAACAAAAATCAAAGATAATTTTTTGCTAAAAAAGTATTATAATAATTTGTTACAAATATATATTTTTTAGATAGGAAAAAAACAAGCTTTTTAAAAATGACATAGCCATTTATGATTCCCATTTAAAAAAATACAAGTTTATTTTATTACGGCTAAACAAACAACTGAAAAAAATTGTTAACTACGTTTTTAAATTCTACGTAAAAAAGTGCCTCTATAATGTCCTTATTTCAAATCAGTATCTTCTATAAGATATGAATTTTTTTAGATTTCGCCAAAATGTCAATTTTTGTCTATAAGTCGAAAACAAAAGACGTTAGCGGGATGCGGTTTTAGCCAATATTATTTTCTCAAAAAATGAGCCCCAGAATGTATAACTCGTTTTTGGCTAAACCTCTTAGTTTCGGAGATTCCCTATTCGGACATCCAAAATGCAACACCCTGTACACTAAAAATTCCAAAAGCATTGCAAAACATAATGATGTAATAAATACACTGCATGTAGAACGTCATTTCGAATCTATTACATTAAATTTTAAATGTGAAGAATCGTGCAACCCCGTGATTTTTCCGAAACACTTTTTCTACTTTAGACGTCAAATGTGTATATGATTGAAGCATGCAGTGTTTCTAAATTCACGCTTAATGAGTCCATTAACTAATCATGGCCTCTGAGCATTAAACCCAATGTTTATAAACATGGTGTCAATGAAGACCTGGACATACTTTATTCACACCATCACCTGTGCGTAGACAAAAATAAACTGTAACCGAATTGTTGATGTCTTTCTCCATAAACACTGAAAATATCTCTAGTTGCTTTTTTTGTTATAGGGCCGCTGGGAGTCAATTGGTCATGGATCCGCGCACAATTTGCAAAAAAACCAAACGTCTAAGGGGTAAAATGGCTGAGATTTGCAGCAAACAAGCATTAGTGGATCAAATAAGGCTCGGGGTCGAATTGGGACAAAGAGAATGTCAGTATCAGTTTAGGTTTAGAAGATGGAATTGCACATCTTCGAGAAAAAGTATCAGAAAAGTGCTCTTGCGAGGTAAGATGTTGAAAAAATCAACTTGACGAAAACTATCGACGACAAAGGACAATGGACAGTAGCGTGGAGAGATTTATAGCGAGCGGTCGCATACCTGATGAGGCCATTTCCAAATCTGTAAACATTTTGCCCTTACCCTAGAATGCAAGTTTTTATCGTTCTGTCTCGATTTCAATTAAATTTGATCGGTCATAATAATTATTTCGTGCGTGATCTTTGGAAGTAATGGAAGTTCTAACTATCTGAAAAAATGGTACTCTCCACGTTTGGTAATTTTTTTGTTGAATATTTGTTCATATTTTGCAAAAATAAGAAAAAACTCAATTTTCTAGAGGTTTCACACAAAAAATATTTTTAGCAGTTATTTCATGTAAAACTAAAGTACTTTCCACGCTTAGTGAATTTTTGATTAAGATTTGAAACAGTTTAAATTTTGGAAGAATAAGAAAAAAATTGAATTTTGTAGAAGTTTTACATCAAATATAAGTAGGTTTTTTTAGCAGTTGTTTTATCTGAAAAAAGGTACATTTAGTGATTTTTTTGATTAAGTTTTGAAACAGCTTTATATTTTGCAAGAATAAAAACAAGAATTTTCTATAGATTTCATAACAAAAATGGTTTTTAGCAGTTATTTCATCTGAAGAAAAACGGTATTTTCCCGTTTAGTGATTTTTAGATTTGAATTTTTTTCAAACAGTTTGAAATTTTCTGGTTACGCCACTGTCCGAACTCTCTTGATTTATGTTATCCAATTATTATTTACTGAAGTTTTTTTCAATATTATATTTCTCGATTTCTATAACAAAAAGTTTTATTCTGTCATATTTATGTTTTAAAAAATGAGAAATCCTGATTTTTGACAGCTCCATATTGTCTTTATAACCATATTTTAAGATATTTTTGGATCTAAATACTCGTATTTTCCTTATAACAACTTTTTTTTTTAATCTGTGATCTTAGCTGAGGCTAAAATTTTGTTTATAGCTATAATCGGTTAGGTACTGCTCAAATAAAATTTATTTTTTGTTACACCGGAAGTGGATATAAAATGAAATGAAATGAAATGAAATGGATTACTCAAGTGATTTTGATAGAGTTTTCATTCGTCTTCCCTGTACTTAAGTTTAACCGTTTTCGAAATCTCTAGACCTTTTTAAAATCTTTTGGATTTGAATCTTCCTATTCAAAAATCGATAAGTCTACCATTTTTTATTATGTTGGAACCGTATTTGGGTATACGAGAGAGAACGGTTAGGTCTTTTCTTTGGTGTATTCAAACTTGGAAAAATAATTAAAAAACCGCCAAACGTTTAGGAAACTTCAAATACCCTTAATTCAATTTTTCTAAATGAAACACCTCAATTTTTTCTTCACTAAATGGATATTGTGAGGTCATAAAAATAAGAAAAAAATAGGAAATCAAAGTTATTCAAATTTAGATTAAATAAATTTAATTTGTATTTACGAAAAAAATAACACAATTGTAAAAAAAACTTGTCGTTTTTTCAGTGAGAAATATTTCCATGGCAAACTATGCGAAAACTCATGGATAGCAATGAATTTCTTCCATTGTAAGGAAAAGTTAAAATAACTTGAAAATCATTAAATTTAGGCATAGAGAATGTTAATACAGATCGATGCAGAATTAAATTCTCTTTCATTTAGTGACGAAAAAATTGGGGCCTTCTATTTGAAAAAATTCACTTACGGGTATTTGAAGTTTTCCAAACGTAACCTTAAATTTTGAAAGTTTGTTAATTATTTTTCCAATTGTAAATACACGAAAGAAAAGATCTAACCTTTTTTTTCATATGTCCAAATATGATTTCAAAATAATTAAAAATGGTAGAGTTATCGATTTTTGGAGAGGAAGATGCAAATTAAAGGAATTTCAAAAAAGTCTAAATATTTCAAAAACGGTTTTTAGGTCTGATCAAAACTTTCTCAAAATCACTTGAGTAATCCAAAAATGTAATAACTTCTAATGTGGGGTTTAGCTGGAACAGCCTGTATTTGAAAGAAAGGCTAGGAATAAAGCATCAGACTGGTCTGTACCCAGAAAACATCACCATAAATTTGCTACCAACCTGACAAACGGAATGCTCCGTGGAGATGCCATGTATCGGAGCAAATCCGTCGAAGATGGCACGCAATTATTAAAGAACATTCCGTTTTCGATCCGCTTTGTATTTTTAGCGATAATTAGCATTCTTGTTTTTTCAAATTTTTAACATAACGTTTCAAGTGGAGATTTTTCTCACGCTATTCTATTGATGATTTGCAAAAGTGCATAAAGAGGTGTAAATTAATAGTTCACCAGTCGATGGAGATATGGACTGCGATAAGAGCCAGGTAGCTGACTGGAGATTGTACAGGGCTTGTCACTAAGCTTTTAAATCTTTTAGTTTCCGCCGGACTATTAACCACTTAAGATAAAGGACCTGCTAAGATAACCGACTTGACTTATTGACTGGAGTTTCAAGTCGCTATACTTGAAAAAGCTTGCAGGATTAAAGTTTCTCACTTTACGAAAATCGAAAACAAATCAAATCAAATCAAATATCTTTATTAGTGTTAGAATACCTGAGTGGCATTTACACAAGTCTAGTGACTCTACAAAGTAAATAAACATATAAGCTAATTTATTCTAAGTGAGAATTTATAAGACAGAAAAATCAAAACTAAAAAATTCCTCAAAAATGATTAAAATGATTTTTTCACTAAAAAATTTTTGACAAAGTTTTTAAACAAATTACAAGGTAATATTTTGATACTAAGAGGTAAAGTATTGAAGAATTTTAAACAGTAATAGTTAACAGCGTCTCGAGAGCGGTTTAATCTTAAGAAATCATGGTGAAGTAAGTCTTTGTGACGAGTAAAGTGTCCATGGTCTTGAGTTGAAAATTTTGAAGAGTTATTTTTTACAAAAAGTAAGCAAAAAATGTACAATGATGGAATCGTCATGATTTGTAGATCCGCGAAACTCTTGTGGAAACACTCTCTGTACCTTAAATTGTTAATAATCCGAATAGGTTTACATTGAAGAGCAAATAGAATTTTCGTATGACAAGAATGCCCCCACACTAGTAGACCGTACATTAATAGGCTTTGTATGTAGGCATGATAATTGTTTTTTTGGATGAAACATGCAGGAGTTGTCTTAGTACGTATATTTTTTGTGATATTTTATTTGCAATAAATGTTATGTGATTTTCCCAAGTAAGTTTATTGTAACATAAAGACCTAATAATTTAATAGCTTTTGGAGTTTCCTCGATGTTCCGTAACGAAAATGTAATCAATTGTGTTTTGTCTTTATTAAGAGATAATCTGTTTGATTCAAACCATATTTTGATTTCATTATCCGAGGATAAGGCAATATTATGTAATGATTCAGTATCACTGTGACTGTCTACAATTGTGGTATCGTCTTCGAATAATATTATATTAGAACGAGTCGCCATGGGAAGATCATTTATATAAATTATAAACAATAAAGGTCCTAATACTGATCCTTGAGGAACACCAAATCTATTATATTGACAGCTGGAAACTTTATCTTTATATTGAACAAATTGTTTGCGATCTCGAAGATAAGACGATATTAAAGCAATACTATTAGAAGAAAAATCATAGTGTTTCAGTTTATCCAAGAGGATGCTATGGGTAATGCAATCAAAAGCCTTAGTTAAATTATAACAAGCTGCAAAGACGTGATTTTTATTTTCAAAAGCATCAAAAACTAGCTGTGACACGAGTTGTAAAGCAGAAGTAGTCGATCTGTTACATCTAAACCCAAATTGACTCTTGGAGAATAAATGAGTATTTTCAAAGTGAAAACTTATTTGATTTTTTAGTAGTATCTCGAGAATTTTGAAAGGATAGGTGTTAAAGAAATTGGTCGATAATTTGCAGGATTATTAACGTTTCCTTTTTTGAAAATGGGTATTATCTTTGATAGTTTTAAATATTGCGGGAAAACATTGGTAACTAGACACAGATTAAAAAGCTTAGTTAAGGGAGAGATTATGAGGTTTTTGATAGTTAGAATGATAGTGGAATTAATACCATATGCATAACTAGTTTGCACCGTGACTTCGTCCACGTAGATTTTCGATATAAACTTTTGTTAATTTCAAAGTCTGAATGTGAAGTTAGTCTGTTTATTTTTTTTTCTTGATTTATCAACTCAAAACAACGTGGGAGCAGAGAGCTGATTTTTAAGAAAATGATGAAAGCACTGTACAAACGCTTAAACCCGATTTCACCTCCTTGAATTTTCAAAAAGTGTATTCTTAGTACACTTCTACACCATCAAAAGTGAAAATTCTAATTTTTATGTTTATAATTTCGTTTAAATGTTTGCACTCTATTTCATCCTGTTATAGATTGGTTTTTTAAATGTGCCTGATTAGTGCACTTCTCCACTCTCTAGGAAAAATATTTTCGAAATTCATGTTTCTTTTGTTTGTTAAAGTGTTGACAAACCCATTAATATAATAAAACTTATTAATATAATTTAAAAAAATCTTTTCTTAGCGGACCTCTACACCCTCTAAGAAATATGTTTCCCAAATGGTTTACATCCCATTTCATCCTCTTAGAGGTTAATTTAAAAAAATTCTTCCCTAGCGAACCTCTACACGCTCTAAGAAACATATCTTCTCAATTTCATATTGTTAGTTTCGTTTAAATGTGTACACCCCTTTTCACTCTCTTTTCTAAGAGGGTGAATAAGTTTTTATTTGATATTTTTAAAAAACTCATCTTAGTGCACTTTTACAACTGTTAAATAACATATCTCCCAATTTTTTTGTTTCAATCTTCGTTTAAATATTTACACCTCATTTCATCCTCGTATAGATTGATTTTCGAAAAATCTTTTCTTAGCGGACCTGTACACCTTTTAAGAAACATATCTCCCAAATTTCATGTTTCTAATTTCGTTTAAACGCCTACACCGCGTTTCACCTCCTTTTCTAAGCTTTCGCTTATTATTAAAAAAAAATCTTTTCCTAATGCAGCTTTATATCTGCCAAATTTCATGTTTGTCGCTTGAGTAGTTTAGGCTGTGCGTTGTCTGTCAGTCAGTAACGACACTCTTTTATATATTACTGTTTTTTTAAGCATCTCTCACATCATTTATTGAAAAAAGTTTAAATTCAAAAGAATTTGTATTTTTATTATTTGCCAGTCAGTTACTAGCGATTTTTCCAATCCATCAATAATGTTTTGAGCAATATTCGAAAACTAATTGTTGAACATTTTAATTAAACTAGTATTGATGCGTATAGAGTTATGCGTATCTTAATGATCGATCTAAGTGGATTTATTAGCGCGAAACTTGATGCATCGCATGATTCAGGTCTCATCAATCGCACTTATATCTCAGTATCTTAATCAGATTCCTGCAGTGATACCACCGGTCTGGATAATTGTCATTCACAGTCTTTCGAAAGCGATAGTGATCTTCGCATAACTTGCTCGCTCATGGTAAATCACATTTGCAATTACTATTATTGGCGGTGAGAAACGACAAGAACTGGCGCACAACAGATAAAAATCAACATCACAACCGGCGAATGATGTCGCATCAAAATATCATCGGAATTGTTTCTTTTTTTTGCAGATACCAGAGAGACGGGCTTTGTCAATGCCGTGTTAGCAGCCGGTGTGACCTACCAGGTAACAAGGGCATGCACCACAGGGGAACTCCTTGGATGCTCCTGCGACAGAAAAATGAAGAGCAAAAAAAATAAAAAGAGACTGAAAATGGCATCGATGCCGGAGGGTGACTGGGAATGGGAGGCTTGCGGGGGCGAAAACATCGATTTTGGATTAAAAAAATCCAAAGACTTTCTAGACACGCGATACAAAAAACGAAGTGATATGAAAACTTTAGTCAAGCTACATAACTACGTTGCCGGCAGAATGGTAAGTCGCCCAAATTTTGGTCTGTTTTGGAGGCAATTTCTTGTTCTAGGCAATCAAAAATCATATGAGAACAGAATGCAAGTGTCATGGTCTTTCGGGGTCATGCACTCTGAGAACATGCTGGCGCAAGATGCCCCCCTTCAGGGAGGTGGGAAATCGGCTCAAGGAGCGGTTCGATGGCGCTGTTAAAGTGATTGCAGGCAATGACGGCCAAAGTTTCATGCCTGAAGACTCCTCCATCAAGCCTCCGGGCAAAACGGGCTTGGTGTATTCGGAGGAATCGCCACATTTTTGTTTACCAAACAACACTTTGGGCTCTTTTGGGACGCAAGGACGCACCTGTGTTGAGACTTCACCCGGTGAAGAAGGCTGCAGCATACTCTGCTGCGGAAGAGGCTCCAAAAGTCATGACGAAACCGAAGAAAAGAATTGCAAGTGCAAGTTTTTGTGGTGCTGTGAAGTTAAATGTGAAAAATGCAACGAGACGCGTACGATTAGTACTTGTTTGTGATTTTATTTCATAGTGTTTATTGACTATTATTAATTTTTATCTAGCTGTATATACCAATTTGTTACTAATTGTTGTACACACTTTTATACAGAATAACACGGCTATACTAAACGAGCAAAATTGTAAACGCGTGTTACTAATAAAATTATTGAACATTGCTTGTGTTTTTGTTTTTTTTTCAAAAATTTGAAAAAACTGATAGAAAAACGATGATTTGTTGCGTCAGTAACCAGTGAACATTTCAATCAAGGTAAGCATAATGTAGAAATTGTAAACTCATGGTATGTAATGCTATCTTTGTTGTTCGTGACAGCCCTACAATACCCCACGAACAAGAACAATAACTAAATGACTAGCATAATGTATGCCACTTTTTTATAGGCAGCCAAGCTCATAACATGCATATTTGTCTAATTAACTCTGATCTCTTGAAAGCATGATTCGGCTGAATCATCAAACAAAGATTCATCTACCTGAATTGTAGGCTATTTAATGAGAAATTGACTTGTTTCGCTTCAGTTTGTTGACACTTGACAAAAAATAATAAAAACAACGGAGATAGATTTTTAAGTTAAACACAAATTCGTACACAATAAATAATAAACTCTAGATAACTCTATTTCATCTATTTAGAGTAATTTTTTTACGCTACATTTTGTGTTACAGTAGATTAATTTTGATCTCTAAAGACGTCAGGGATAGAGTAAAATAACACTATTTTGTGCGTTCATTAACCATGTAGAGTGAAGCAAATCTATACAGGGTGTTTCAATGAAAACGAGCCACCGAATATCTTAGAAACTAAAGACTTGGCAAAAACACCGAAACAGGTCGATTTTGTTTCCGAGGGGGGCATTTTTTGTAATAATTTTTACTTCAATAACCCCTTAACCCCCACGCACCCCAACTTTAAAAATTTAAATAGCACTACCTTAATTGTTGCACATCAAATGAAAGCTATTGTAGCAAGGTTTTCAAAACATTTTACCAAAATTGAATTAGACTATCCATGAGATACAGGGTGTTCTAATAGAAACGAAAATAGAAAAAATTTGCAAAAAAAAACGAAACAGGTTAATTTTGTATTTAAAAGGGACATTTTTTGACACAATTTTAAAAGCACTTTCACTGACCTTTTAGCCTCTATGCCACTTAACTCTAAAATGTCAAATAGCACCAACCACTAGTGAAAAATGAAAACACTTTTAAAATGCTCTTTAAAAGATTTTTTCCAAAATGAAATAATTTTTATACATTTATAAAATATCGGCAAAAAACTAATCTTTCAGCAGTGAGTATGTACAAAGGAACTTAAGAACCATATTGTTATTTTTTAGATACTTACATTAAATTATAAGAAACGTTATTATCCCCTGTCCATTAGTCCGATTATTTTGACAATAAAATAAAGAAATAAAAATAAGTTTCTTACAGCTCCAATAATACTTATAACAATATTAGTATGTTTCTTGTAATTTATTTTAATAGTTTTTATTAGAAGTAATTACTAATTAGAAACATTATCTTTTGCGAATATCTGAATAGATAATCCCATTCAACTTTAGAAAAGAGGTTCAAAGAACATTTTAAAAACACTTTTATTTGATCTGTTGCAATTGAGTCGGTATCATTTAAAATTCCGAAATTGAGGTGGAAAAAGTTAAAGGGTTAGTGGAGGTGCTTTTAAAATTGTGTCAAAAAATGTTTTTTTTTTAAACAAAATTAACATTTTTCGTTTTTTTTTTGCAAATTCTTTCTGGTTTGTTTTTATTAGAACACCCTGTATCTCATGAATGGATGGTCTGATTCAATTTTGGTAAAAAGTTTTGAAAAGCTTGTTAAAATAGTTTTCATTTGATGTGCCACAAGTAGGGTAGTGCTATTTAAATTTTTAAAGTTGCGGTATGTGGAGGTTAGGGGGTTATTGGGAGTGCTTTAAAAATTACGTCAAAAAATTTTCCCCTCAGAAACAAAATTGACCTGTTTCGGCGTTTTTGCAAAGTCTTTTTAGTTTCTGAGATATTCGGGGCGACTCGTTTCCGTGAAACACCCTGTATAGTGCTTTATAAACTCTGTGAAGAGCACTACTGTTTTGGTGTATACCTAGTGTATAGTGTCAAAAGTTTTCAGTCTCTATAGGTAAACTCTATAGGTAGGTAAATTTGAATAAAACCCTATTCAGTTTTTTAAATAAATTGTTTATTATTATTACCGATAACATAGAAACAAAATAGAAATACATTAAACGAATTTAAATACTCTAAAAAATAAATTTGTATTTCGGAACGAGAAACCATTCACTAGAGGAAAATGATTGTGATAAAAAAAGTTGGACTAATATCTGTATCTCTTAACTTATAAGAATTTAGTCTTTCGACAAAAGATCTAATTTTCCATTTTTTCGTTAAAAAAATATCTGCTTTTCCGAGGTATCACTATTTATCGAACATATATATAATTATTTCATCAAACTGTGGAAGCTGAGAGTTTAGGTAATAATTTTTCCCACACATATGAACATATTTTTTTTTGTAAAGGTATCCATGTTCGAACCACTTATTTAGAGATACCGTTGAATCACTTTGCATTTTTGTAGGTATATTTGCTTACCTGAAAATATTACCTGTCCAAAAAATACATAAAAAACAATTAACAATATATATTTACTTCAACAAAAAAAAAAAAACGTACTACACCTATGGACCAGACTCTTAAGCATGCGCATTAGAGAAGTTCGCTGTAATTCTACTGTAAATTAACTCTATCCAGAGTGCTGATAACCACTAAAGATTTTTAGCGTTAAATTTACAGAGTAATTTAGAGTTGATAAACTAGTGTAGTTTCACTTTTATTTAACAACTCTAGGTTAGATTCATCAATTTTTTACTGTGTACATCGACTCCCCGGCCAGGCATTTTATATCCTGCAATATAATTATAATAAAAAGATAAAAACTAATCTAAATATAACCGTGACTTAAAATTTAAGCTCTTTTAATCAATCGGTTCATTCAGGTTGCGTGATCGGAGCATGTCCACGGCAAATTTATGTCCCGGACCCATGAAGATGTCTTAACTGCCCCCCAGGAAGCGGCCGGTGTTTGGGTGGTCTTAGAAAAGCTGCAAACCTTATCAACAACATTATGCGAGTATCCGAAATCAGTATGTTTTTTCATTTGCGCAACAAGTATCGCATAAATAAATAGCACAATAAAAAGTCATGAGTAAATAAAGACAAAGACAAACGTTATTACATCGAAAGCATGTAAACGTTTCATTTGTTGTAAATTATAAATTACGTGCAATAATAATATCAACGTTTATGGCACATTACGACCCATATAGTTGATTTTACAATTCAAGTGCAGGCATTTGAGGATGAGTCGCGGCAAGAGGCTGAGGAAATCGAGAGCTCTAATAGCCATTAATAACACACCGCCAACGCTGTACCGTGCGAGACTTCTTAATAACCGATCTGTCTTGAGAAAAGCAGTTCCCAGCTAGCCGCGAGCTACATACGTGCTGGACCTTGCCCGTGAACTAAAACTTGAAGCTGCTTCGGTACAATATGATTTATGCTATAAAAAGAGATATACACTAACATACATGCGATCCTGAAATGACTTAATAGACTCATATATTCCAAACAGATGCTGCGCAAGAATCAACACCATAACTTGGTTTTATCGACTAGCGATTGGATTCGGAACAAAATTAAAAAACCACTCAAATGTAAAGTCCGTTTTTTCTTTAAATGGAAATTAACAAGTCAAAATTTTGGTGAAAAATCATAATTATATATAATTTTTTAAATAAGCTGCTCCACAAAAGTTAAGGAAGTGGCATTATTTATAAAACAAATAAATTTTATTCTTCTGAGCAACGTGGAATCCAGCAAAAACAAAAAAGTAAAAAGATATCTGCTTTTATCTCACTTTTGATTAATTATTTTTTTTTAATAATTTATTAATATGTATAACTAATTATTGTAATTATTGCACACTTCCTTAACTTTTGTGGAGCAGTATATTTTTCTCATGTTCCTGCTATCTTATCCTTTTTGGCATTCTTCCCTGAGCGCGAGTTTTGAAACACTCTATATGGTGCATTATTTTTCATAAAGTAATAAATAAATTACATATTATAGAGAAATTGTAATTACTTATCGAGATGAGAGGTGCTTCATTACCAAACCGAAATTTGATATCCAAAACGCAAAGCACTGCAGTTAGCTATGAAGAATTTATTACATTGTGAAAAAATTATACAGGGTGCCATATAAAGTAAGATACCAGGAACATGGAAAAAATGTTTAAAAAAATTATCTATTAAAATTTCGAAGTTATGAGAGTTTAAATTATGCACTTTGACTCTATTTATTTTTGTTGGAAAAATAATTTTCCAAGTTTTTTTGCTGCAGGTTTTTAGAAGAGAAAACAAGGAAGCTGTATCATAAATTGTAACTCTGTTCAATGTCATTTGTGGCCGTCAAAATTTTTGTCCCTTTTCTAAATAATTGTAAAAAAACATGTACAAGATTATCAGTATCATTAAATAGACATAAAAAATGTCAAATGTCAAAAAATAAATTTTTTAACAGATAGAATTTTATAAACATTTTTTCCATGTTTCTGGTATCTTATCTTACTTGAAATTTTTCTCTGGGGCGCGACTTCTGGCGCAACTGTATATGACAGTTCAGGTTGGGAAGTGGTAATTTCTTTAGAAGTTGATATGTAATATGACAGTTTAGGTTGGGAAATGGCCACTTACCAACTTTTCACATGCAAGATAATTTGAATTTTACAATTATTTTCGTATATTAAAAAACTGTATCTTTTATTCTTTAGCAGATTTAATAATAATAATACCGGATAACTATTAATGTTTGTGACAAAAAGTCTGTTGGCAACACTGAATGATTGGTAGTCGTTATAATTTGTTATATCAGAATGTTTCAGAGGTGACGGCTAAATCAACAGTCGCCCGTCGCAAATGAATGACAATTGCCAATAAAAATTTGACGTTTGAATTTGAAAGTAAAGGTTGCCAAACTAAAATTTTAAATTTGACACCAATTTAACGTAAAAAATCACAATCATTTACAGTCACGCGGTACATACTTAATCTAGAAATAAGTGCTTGAGAAAGTCTGTTTT